GGTGTAAGGGACCAAGACAAAGGGGTGTAGGAACGAATGTTGTGTTTTCGGCGACATACAACCAAGGAAAAAGCCCTATCAGCCCATGGCATTTCCAGCACTTAATAAAAAGGTTCACACCAGGAAAGAGAACAGTTCTTTGTCCATTTCCTGAAATCCAAGGCATTTAATAAGGATTTGGGAGCATTTCAGAGCTATGGGAAGGTTACTGGTAAAAGACGGTAAAGAGAGTTTGGCTGCCAGGGATTTTTGCTATGCTGCTTTTCCATTTGCACTTTACAATTTCCAGGCACACTGAAAATTTGGAAAGTGGTATAAATTACTAGGAGGAGGGCTGGGAAAATGAAGTTAATGTGTGACTCCTGAGATTTCCTGCAAAACGTTGGTGTGGTGTGTGAGGAGAAGGGATGGAGCTGAGCTGGAGCTGGAGCATTCCTGGCAGCGAGGGCTGTGCTCTGAGCCGGCACCGCTGCGCGGAGCTGTTGGAAGCACGGCTGGCAGAGCTGCTGCCGGGGCTGCAAAAGCAGATTAAATCCCTTAGGAATAGAGTAACAGCCCATCTGCATGTGCCCTGCTTGGGGCTATGATGGAGGGTCCCAGCTACAGCAAGTGCAAACTCTCCCTTTGGACTCCTCTGTCCCTTCTCATTATGTTTGTTCCTGGAATAAAACGGAGGATTTCTAAAGGAAAATCCCACCTGCAGTGTGTGAGCGTGACTGTCTGTGTGCTGAGCACTTATACTGCATATATGAAGATAAAATGCATTTATTGCCACAAGGAATCAGATTTGGCCTTGTTGCAGTAACAACTTAAGGGACCCAAAACTGCTTTATCTCTAAGCTAAAGCTGTTGATATCTCCTGTGAATGTCCAGTTAATGCATCAGTCTTTGGTGTCTGAGACAAATATTACAGGGTACATCAGCCAGTACCTCTATTTTCTTTTAAGGAGTTTTGTCAAAGGACTGAATTTGTCCATGCATCACACAGAAGATGGTTAGACACCTCATTTCCCAGTTGTCCCATCCCAGAGACTTTGGGGTAAGTCTCTCACCAATAGAACCACACACATCCCGGTGTGTTCTGATGTTTGAATCGTCTTTTTGGTTTTTTTAAGTTGCCCAGGGACACACACGTTGGGGTGTGTGATCACTGCCTTGCTCTGGGTATGTCTCTCCCACACACCAACATGCTCACACTGCAGAGTCTCAGCAGGTGCCTCTGCTATGAAAATCAGAGGTAATAAATATCCCATGCATCAACAGTTTTGATTTAAAATACTCTCCTGAAATCAGTTCAGCCAAAGGCAGTAACTATCTTATATTGTTCAGCCAAACTAACAACAATTTATTTTGTAATAAGTTGAGGGTAGGAGGGGATGCACTTCCATGCCTATAAGTAATGATACAGTCAATATTTTCATCAACAAAACTGATCACTGCCCCTTTTTCTGTCACCCTTTTCTCCCTTACTTCCTTGCTGTTCAAGCACAGCATGATTTAAAAAAGCCCTGCACAACCCAGGATTTTACCTTCCTAACCCACTTTAGACACTGCTGACTTTTAGGGAGATCCTGACAATAGTGAGTCCACCGGGAACTGATTTTAAAGGCTTGAATCAATCCAGCATTACCTGACCCAGGAACCTGCTCTAACAGGTATTTGGGGCAGGGTGCTCGATGAGAGAAAGGTTGATGCTGTCTCTCAGCGCCAACCTCCTGCAGAGTTTTCTCTCTGCTGCTTTCCTTGCCCTTCAGAAAAATCCCACCCAATGAAATCAGACAGGAAAAGGATTAACGTGAAAAATTCCTAGTGACTCCCAATTGCACCTGGAAAAAGCAAAGATGAAAAACACTTGGGTCAACATAACAGGGAGGGAGGCATCCTGTGGGCCTTGCATCTCAGGCACTGTGGGACCCTCAGCTCAAAGTCCAGGCAGTTTCAATAGATGAGGTCTTTGGGTGACATTTTCCTGCAAGATTTTAAGTAAATGCCTTGCTGTAACATTTGAGATCAGGCATCTCTTGGTTTCCATGATTCTTTTCCTTTTTAAGCCACAGGCACACACACACAAAATATATTAAAACGAGCCCAGATTAGCTAAAAGGTCGGCTAGTTCTGAAACAAACAGCAGGGATTTGTGGTGGAGGCTTTGGGGCACAAGAAGAGAGTGGTTGAGTGGTTTGACTCCAGCTCTGCTTTGGCTGGAAGGGGAATATTGATTAAAACCTTGCAGGGAGCAGAAGTCAAGGTGAGAAGAGATACTTTTGCCATTCTTTTTGTTAACCCACAGCTGGAAAGAGTCTTCACAGATTGCCCAGGCCAAGCACTAGCAGAGGGGAGGGAAAAGAGTGGGAGAGAAAAGAGAGGCAGGAAGGGGAGGGATGTCTAGGGTGTTCTTTCTTTGGTAGGCTAAGCCTCTGCCTCCTTGGAGACCAGAGTAGGCAGGGGCTCAGGTGTGGGACAGCCAGAGGTGTCCAGCTCTGTAAAAGTGATGTGAGGAGAGAAGGTAGAACCTGCCTGGACAAAACCTTTCTGAAAAGGTGGAGAGGTTGATCCCTGGATGGGGAATGCAAGGCTGAATCCCAGGAGACGAGGTCTTTGCTCAGCACCCTGTCTGTGAGGAACAGAACAGAGCTGTCTGCCTGTGAGACTGTGAATGCTTCACATGAGGCTGAGACAGATTTGCCAAGGAATTAATGGAATTTATTAAATTTATTAACTAGCTCATAGAAATATGCTGCTGAAGCCTTTCCTTTTTGGGGGTAGCCCCTCCCAATTTTTGGGGTAGTACCCTACTGGTGAGCTTTTAGGAAAAGAGAGATTTGGCTGGTACAAACTGCACCAGCCTGTTGGAAGTGTTGATTGTAAATCAACAAGCACATTATTTCCGGGTACCTGCTATTTCAGTGTGTAATTAGAATTATTTTTAAACTATGTCTCCTGATATTCCCTGCTAGTACTTGGCATGGAGGGAAACTGGAGGAGGCAGCACATGGAGCACTCAGGAACAGCTGCTGGGGCAGAACAGAGGCACTACTCTCTCCTTGTTAGCAGCCGTGCCTGCACATCACCCGTGTGCAGAAACATGAGGCAACAAAATCCAAACCAGAGCATTCTCCAGACAGTTATTGGTATAAACGTGCTCATCCACACTGCAAAATTAGACCAGCAGATGCGTATCTTGTTTGTGGGGATAGCAATTGCTTTTCACAAGGCCAAAATGAAGTTACAGCACCAGAAGGGACAATATATCTTCGTTACAGACAAAGATCCCAAAGGAACTCACTCACTCACTGTGTCCATGAGAGGGGTGTTTAGTCCAGAAGTGTGGTTTTGTGCTTGGATCATGGGGCTTTAAGCTGCCCCCAAACTGAGGGTTGAGGCATAGGGGCAGTGGACAGCCAGGAGAAGGTTTGTGTACCAGCTGCAGCTGCCCTTCACACATCAGTACATCCCACCAACTTATTTCATGTTCCACTTTCCTTCTTCAGGATAAATACTCTCGATTCATCCCAAGAACTTGTCCAAGGGCCAGGAACAATGGGTGAGAGGAGCTGGGAAAACCAACTCTGACAAACTCCTCTCAACTAATAGAAATTTCATAACAGAAGAGCTCAAATGAAAGGAACATTGGTGTTAAGAGATTATTAGTCATTCTCTAAACTAATGTGGGATGAGTGCTGGAAAATATTTCTCTCTGAATTTGTATGAATAATATGACTAAATAAGTCTGATTTTGGCTATTCTTTCATGGTGATCCTATTGGATGAATGTAAGAGGAGCAAAGTTGGGGGTAATATTGGCTCTTGGTGGATGGCTGTGGAAAGTTTTGTATTTGTATACAAGAGATGATTTGATTGACTGAAGGATTAGACATCTTCTTGCATCAGTTAGGTAAGGAGTCTGGGTGAACACAGAGCCCACTGGCTGTTGGAAACTCAGTGATGAATGGGACACATTATGGCTGTCTTTGGATAAACCACTGATGCCCTGAATGAGATTTTCCTTGATACTCTGTATTGGTAAAAATTTTATCATGAAGAGAACTGAGTGGACAAACAGCTCACTGGAGTTTTACAGAGTGGCTGAAAGGGTAACCCCAACAAAGACTGTTCAGCCTTGAGGGGGCCCTTCTCTGTGAAGGATCCCCCTGTCACCTTCAGCATGACCGTGGCACCCCCACAGCCTTTGCCCCTGCAACACAGCAGCTCAGAGAGGATCCCACATCCCCAAATCTGAGGATATGGGATAAAGTGAAGTCACTGATAGGGACCAAAGCAAAGCTGTCGCTGCTGTGCCCCAGGCAGGTCAGGGAACAGGTAGGTATTTTTAGATGGGCCTTCCCTTCTTTTAAATGCATTTCTCCTAGCAGCAGCAGTAGGTGAGTGGGTGTTTGGGGACCAGTGGAACATACAGATGTACAAGTGTGTTGGAGCACCCCTGGTGCCTCTCTTCTCCCTGTGGGAGAGGAACAGGGAAGTTGGACCCACAACCAGCCCCTTACCAGCCCTCAGCTTTCAGCCGTGCCTCTGTGACTGACTTCGTGAAGGATGGACTAGAGGGGGGGTCCCAGTGGTGAGGGGCTCTGCAGCCCAGCCCAGAACCTGCCCCCTCCCTTTACTCTTCCTCCCTCTCTCCCTCCCTCCACGGGCCACAGTTTGGGGACGCAGCTGGGGTTGCAAACCCCCGGGGTCCGGGGGAGGCAGCGGCGGGGCTGGCGGGGGGTGCGCGGTGACCGGCGGGGCGGCGGCTGCCGGCGCGGCTGTGCGGGGCGGGCGTGCGAGTGTGCGGGTGTGTGTGCGGGTTTGTTTGTGTATTTTTGTGTGTGTGTGTTTGTGTGTGTGTGTGTGTGTGTGCGGGGCGGCTCCCGCGCTGCCAGGGCACATCTGTGCGCCGGGGGAGCCGCGGGGAGGAGGGAGCCGGGGCTGCGGGCGGCTCGCAGGGCGGGGGGCGCGTCTCGCACACGCACACGCGCGGCAGCCCCGGGACCGGCGGCTCCTCCCGCCGCATTAAAACGAGCCAAGTTCCCCGCCGGGGGCAGCGGCGGGTTCAGGCGGTGCGGCGGGTCCGGGCGGTGCTGCCCGGCCCCGGGGATGCACCCGAACGCCACGGCCCCGGCCGTGCCCCTGCAGCCGCACCCCACTGGCTATGCCAACGCCTCCAACCGCTCCGACCTGCTCCCCAAAGTGCCCGACGAGGAGGACCTGGACGTCAACACCGACATCTACTCCAAAGTGATGGTGACCGTCATCTACTTGGCTCTTTTCTTGGTGGGCACCGTGGGCAACTCCATCACGGCGTACACGCTGGTGCGCAAGAAGTCGCTGCAGAACCTGCAGAGCACCGTGCACTACCACCTGGCCAGCCTCGCCTTCTCCGACCTCCTCATCTTCCTGCTCTGCATGCCCATCGAGCTCTACAACTTCATCTGGGTCCATCACCCCTGGGCTTTCGGGGGGGCCGTTTGCAAGGGCTACTACTTCCTCCGGGACGCCTGCACCTATGCCACGGCGCTCAACATCGCCAGCCTCAGCGTGGAGCGCTACATGGCCATCTGCCACCCCTTCAAAGCCAAGAGCATCATGTCCCGCAGCCGCACCAAGAAGTTCATCAGCTGCATCTGGATCGCCTCCTTCCTCCTCGCCATCCCCATGATCTTCACCATGGGGCAGATCTACGCCAAGGACCGGGATCCCGACTCGCTCATCTGCACCGCCATCGTGACCACCTCCTCGCTGAAGACGGTCATCCAGGTGAGGGGCCAGGAGGGGCCGGGTGGCCCGGGTCGAGCAGCCGCCTCCTCCTTCCCGGGTTGGCCAAACTTTGCGGAGACGGGCGGGGCAGGAGGGGGAGGCTGGTGCGAGGGACTGGCTCAGGAATGGGGATGCTCCGGGCAGCCCTGACGGGACGGACCGGCCCAGGGTGCGGGCAGGAGGGATTTGAGGGGGTTTGGGCTCCTCCAGCTGCGCCCCACCCCGCATCCCCTCCTGCCCCACCGCGCCGGGTTGAGACCATGCGCCAGGGTAAATCCTGCTCCGCGATTAATCCTTCCCGGGGTCGGTGCAACCCTCCCGTGGCCCCTGAGCCCAGGGCATCCGGCTCTGCTCTGCCGTGCCGCCCCGGGGACGTTCACCCAAAGGTGGCAGTTCATAGCCAGAAAACCCCAAATCTCCACCCTTTCTCTCTATCTTCTGCATCTCCTTCCCTTCTTCTGGAAAGCGACCAGAAAGATCAGGGGAATAAAACCATCTCTCCCCCTCTCCCAGTTCCTTGTGTTGATCCAGAGCCCGTTTCCTCAGTGTAGTGACAGCTCCTAATTTCAGAAAGTTTTGGACACAGGGTGTAGCACAGGCATCTGAAAAGGAACAGCATCGTCAAAGCCAGAGGCTGCTATTTTTGCTGGTTTTGGGAAATCCACAGCTGGTTTAAGTAGCAGCCCCTCCTGACTAAGTCAAGGATTTGCTGGTCTCCACACACTGCTAAATCCAACACGCCCATGCGTGGAACGGATGTCAGCATCAACACTTGCTGTGCTCCAGTGCTCTGACGGGTTGAGGCATTTGTTTACTGAAGCGTTGGGCTTGAAAAATGTAAGAGACACGGAAGGAGGGACAGAGAGAGCAAGACACCAATCTCCATAGTCCCTTTGCTGCCAGGCTCGCATGTGATAGCTGCTCAATCTTTTATTTGGAACATGAATTTCAGGTGGGGTTAATCAGCGGGCAGCTGGAATTTAAAGCTGCATGTGTACTGGAGTGGTTGAGATGTTCCCAGACTCAGAGGGAACTTAAAGGGAAAGGAATCAGAACGTTTTCTCCCACTAAAAGCAGGCGAGGGTGCATGCCTTTAGATTTAAGCCCAGAGCCAGTAAATGTTTAGATGTGTCTCTCCCAGTTTCCCTCCATGCTACTCCAGGAAACCAAAATCCATCCCCCACAGAAGCCCTGGATTCCTTCTGCATTTTGTCGTGGTCCCTAACTTTCATCTGAGGTGGTGGGGCTGCATTTCTCCTGTAGATGCTTTGAAGGTTTTGTCAGCAGCAGCCCAGTGTACTTAACCCAAATTCTCTACTCTCTGAGGAGAAGTGAGCCATCTGATTTGAGAACAACGGGACTGAAATGCATTATTTCCACTCATCTTCCTCTTAGGATTAAACTGATGCTCATTGTTACCATGGTAGGGCTAAAAACAGAGGATTATTTCCTATCCATATCTTTGGAGATTATAGTTTAAACAATTCTCAATGTATTTTACAGTCTTGCAATTCAGGCTATACCTTATCCCATTAGCCAAGTAAGGAGTAGGCAGACATGAATGCACAGTATGTGAAGTTCACCTATGGGCATTTCCTCATTTATTTATTTATTTATTTATGTGTTTAATTAGTGAATTAATTTAAAAGGAAAGAGGCAGCTGTTGGGGGGTGAGGAGGAGGAAAACCCCAAACCATGCAAATCTGTACTTCCTTGGGGGATCCAGCTGCAAAAGTAGATTTGCTGAGATAGGAAGGTTGTTTAATGGTTCCACTCCATTCCCCCAAGCACAGGAAAGCAGCATACAATGTGATGCAGGGCCCTGGACCGGGGAAGGCTCCAGAGTGAATAAGCAAAGCAGCTGCAAGTCAGGTTTGAAGTGCGTTAATGGAAACCATCGCACAGCGTGTGAGCCGGCATTGTCACGTCGTAAGCTGTGCAGAGGTTTAAAAAAAGACAGATGATGGAAGGTCTGTGACTGAAAGGGCAGTGGTGATGTGGAGAGTGACGTGCAGATGTCTTGCTGGTTGGCAGTCTGGAGCCCTGGTCTTTCGTGGTGGGTTCACGCTGCTTTACAGCCGTCCCTGCATCTCTTTGTGTTCATTTTCCGTCTTTAAATTAAGCAGAGCAATGATGCACTTGCTTGAGCTGGCAAATCACTTGTAATAAATCACTCAACATTTTTCATTCCTCTTCCTGTTTGGCAAACTGTCTAAAGTAAATTGGGAAGTTGTTTTTTTTTTTTGGAAGCCATTAGTTCTCCAAGTGGTTTTATTTGTTGACTGATTGAAAGTCAGTCCCAGAACAGGGCAACTGTAACCATTTATATCCTCAGAAGCCACTGTGAGCTTTGGTTCTGCTGGGATCATTGCAGGAGAATGCTTCTCCCTGGACTGGAATGAGCTTCCAAGAATGAATATTTCTCAGAATCACAGAATGTTCTGAGTTGGAAGGGCCTATTTGTTAGTAGCAAATTAACATTTCTGATTTTCAAAAAGTTCCTCTGTATTTGCTTTGAGTATTTAAGTTTTAATGGGCATTCCTGAGTGAAACTAGACTGAGTGAACAACTGTGTTCCTTGTAATAAGAAAAAAAAAAGTAATTATTCGAACTCGTTATATTTGATTCTTGCACATATTAACTTGTGCCACTTAAACTCCACAACAACTGTAAGAAGTAATTACTGATATTCCTTCACCAATTACAAATTGTTCAGGGCAGCACATACTGCTAATCAGGAAAAGCAGTAAGTGAGATGATCTGCAGGGTCACCATGTGTGTCACCATGCTCTGTACTGCGAGCACATCTCTGCTCATGCCATCGAGACTCTGTGAGTGTCCCTTGACACGGAATTCTTTATGACAGCACTATTTCCCAGTTTGGTTTGTCACTGTCACTGAGCTGCTTAAATCAGCCTGTGAATCTGATTTATTATATATTCTTCATTGCCAAGCTTGCCTGTTGCTTCTGTCAGTCAGGGACATCTAGTTTGGATATTGGCATCCACACAAGATCTGATAACAGGAGTAAGTCCATTATAGCCACATTATTCAGGTCTAGTCAACGCTTTAGCTGGCAGACATCCTCTGAAACACACTGCAGACAATTTTAGGTTCTTTTTCCACATAGATTAAACACCTCTTAAAGCCATACAAGTAAATTCATGCTTTCATGGTTGCACTTAAAAAACCTCCTCCATTTCAGCTGGAGAGGTTTTAAAAGCTCCTCGTTGTGGCAGCAACAGATAAGAGAGTTCTGAGGCAGGATGAGATTCTTCCCCTGTTCACTTGTGGGTCAGCATCTGTGGATTTGGTTCTGTGAGGGGAGCCTGGGTGTGGGCAGCTCTCTGGCACGCCATAATTCGCAGGGGAGAGAGGGAGGTGTTTTCCCACTGTCGTGGCACAGCCTGCACTCGAGTGGCTCTGCTGAAAAATGTCCCCTAAGTTACAGCAAGTGCCTGGGTAGAGTGTCTGACACATGCTAATGTTTTATTTGCGTGGACAGCTGGTGTGAACCCATTTATTAAAACACATGGCAGCAGGCCCTGCGCCTCCAGAAACTGCCACGGCTCCAGCAGCTCCACGTTGCTCATTTGCCAGGGCAGCACAAGGGGAACTGCTCTGGACCTCCTCAGCCGTTTGGAAAGGCTGCTGTTCCACTGAGGTTCTGCTCTGCATCATCCCACCCTGCATGGCTGCAGCTCATCCATCCCTCCCGTTCCCTTGTTTATTATGTTTTATGAAGCCTGCTCATAGTTTGGATGATTTGTGTAATAAATAACTCTGCACATGAAACAACCACTTGCCCAAGGGGCTCCTCTGCTTTATTCCTGCCCACGTTTCTTCTTGCAATGCCTTCGAAGGAAGACACAAAAGAGCCTCAGGTCTGAAGGGAATGGGAAGGAAGGACCAGGTATTGGAGCTGGGAGACACAAGGTGCAGCCTGACCTCTTGTCATCCATTACCACACTCTCTACACACTTTTCTAAGGTCATGTATTCAATTCCCATTAGTCTGAGAGGCTTACAAAGTTATTAATTCCATGCATGATGCTGCAGACACGCCCTTACACCTTCCTCTGGTGAGGAGCACCTTGGAGGGATGATGTGATGTGCTCACTGCTCTGGTGCTGTGGATGGCAGGGCTCTGCCCACCGTCAGATCTGAGGTGCCAGGTAAATAAATATGACAAGCATCTCTCCATAGTACACAAAAATAGCAACCCATAAAACCAAATGGATGAATTCTCTCCAGGTTTGCTGGCAAATCCTATCCAGGATTAGTCAGTGGCTTCAGTTCAGGAATCCTGTGTTTATAGTGGTGTTGACTAGAGGAATTGAAATTGATTTCTTTTCCTTAAGTCACAGCCAAATTCCTACTATGGCTTTTAATAACAGAGCTGTTCTAAATCACTCACTGTGCCAGAGAAATCCACCCCTGGGTGCCACTCACCCCTCTGACAGCACCACAAACCAGCACCTTTGTAGCAGGACTGTGTCCCATCAGGTCATGGTGCTGCCACACCCTCAGGTAGACAAGAAAATGACAATATTGGTGTGTAAATGTGTCTGGATCCATTTCCACACTGATGGAGAGAGATCCCTGCCCCAGCATCAGTGCTTGCCTGTGGTGGCAGGAGCATCCCTAAAAAGCTGCCTTTTTTTCCATGGACTATTCAGGGAACTCAGGGCTTTAACTCAGCATATGCACGACAGCCCAGCCTGCCTAATCCCAGCCCGTTTACACTCTGGTCTGTCTCGCAGCTAGATCTAATTTAAATAAGCTCTTGTGTTCATTGCTTTACATAACCACTTGGCCTGCTGTGTTTTGCCAGTTCTTACATAATTTCTTCTCTTTTTTTTCCCCCAATTGGTTTTAATTCACTTGATTTCCTTTTCCCTCCCCCTTCCCGCGATGTCAGCTGGAGGGATAATAAAAGAACAGGGAAATGTGGCTGATCAATTTAGCTCTTAGGTTTTCCCCTCAACAGCGGTTTGCAAA